CACTGTATCTTTCTGAGTTGTTCTACATGCAAATACATGTCTTTAATGTGTCTGAGTTTAGTGTGGTTCCTGCAAGTTTGTTATTAAAATACATTAAAATATATACATCTATTAATATGTATTGCATACACACATACACATATATGAGCACCAGCTGCTTGTCCAGAGGACCCAGGTTTGATTCCTAGCACCCACAAATTGGCTAATGATGTATGTAACTCCAGTTCCTGAGGATTAGATGCCCTCTCTGGACTCTGTGGGTACCAGGTAGGCATACAGTGCATAGACATACATGCAAGCAAATTCATATATATATATATATATATATATATATATATATATATATATGAGGTCTCTGTGACTATTGAGTTGCTGTAGCCCTATGAGGTGAACCCAAACCATGCAATTACTAGCTGTCTCATTGTGTGTGTGCTGCAGTGGAAGCACAGCCCACTGTCCAGTTCACACGTCTCTCCAGTTCACACGTCTCTCCAGTTCACACGTCTCTCCAGTTCACAGTCTCTCCAGTTCACACGTCTCTCCAGTTCACACGTCTCTCCAGTTCACACTTCTCTCTCCTGTGAGTTTATTTTGTTCTGTGGGAGTCAGTCTTCAGGAGTCTTCATGTCAGGAAATACTAAATTCTGACCTGAAAGCTAGGGATCATGGGACATGACAGTGACCATGAAAAAACAAGTCTGAGAACAGAGGTTTGGAAAAGTGAGACACTGTGGCCTGCCATTCAGAAAAGACAGGCCTGTCTAACATGTAAGAAAGGCAATTCATGGGGAAGGAGCATGGGCTTCCTGGCTCTGACGTTTACCAACCATTGACTGTGGTAACTTAGGTGGCCACCTTGTGCCTCAATTTCTTCATCAGTGAAATAAACTGTGAATACTGAGACAACCCAAACACACACCTAAAACAATGCACGGGGAAGGGCAAACTCTCAGGTCGGCCATTACAGCATTGCCATCTGGATGGGGGACAGAGCATGCACTCTGGTGTAAGAGTTCCCCAGAGGCTCCCAGCCAGATACTGCCAAAGGCAGGGTCCATACTGCTGTGCTCACAGCCCCGGCAATGCTCTTGACAAAACAAAATGGACAAGGGGGTCCCAGAAGCTAAGGTCTTTCCTGGAGGCCACTGCACAGGTTTCTGACGGCCTGACAGTCTCTGAGGGTAGTTAATGGAGGATGGGGCTCTCTGCCCCCCACAAACCAACATCTAATTGTGAAGAGGAGATGGGTAAACCACACAGCTGCTGCATTTGAGGCTGGCCAGCCATTCAGTGCTTAATAGGTTTTTGTTTTTAATTAGTGGGAAAGCCATAACCAAGAGTGGGCAGGAAACACTAACGCAGGATCACTCCCTTTTAAGGTGCATGAAAGCTTGCCAGTGTTCTATTACAATGGACTGCATCAAGGCTACAGAGATGGCTCAGTGGTTAAGGGCACTGACTACTTTCCCAAAGGACCTGGGGTTCAAATCCCAGCAACCACATGGCAGCTAACAACTGTTTGTAACCTCAAGATCTGACAGACTTACCTGTAGGCAAAGCACCAGTGCACATAAAATGAAAGTCAATAAATTAAAAATAAAATTGATTCGATTACATCCCTTCTCCTCCCTTTCAGCACCTCTCACTACCATTCCCTTTAGGGTACAGTTCCCCACCTCATCCCCACATACCTGGCAGCCCACTTGCAGGGTCTATGAGTTTCCTATCACACAGCATTTCAGGGCTTGTCCCTTATTTATCTCTAACACTACCTCCTTCCCATGGATGGCAGAATGGCATTTGTTGGTCACAGGCATAAGGAAGACTCCCAAATGTCCCCTGACTGTCCATGCAATGGCTGCCCTCCACCCCTGGTTCCTATGACAAGTCCTTTTTGAACTGCGGTTTGAGGTTTCCTTGGAGTTCCATGGGGTCTGGTTGCTACACTTAACATTTATTATACTGATGTAAAAATGCAAGGAAGGGGAGAGAGGCTCCTGGGCCTTGCCATGCAGAGAAGGGGACACCACAAAGCTCCAGCATATTGAAACTGGCTCAGGTTTACAGATTTCTCCATGGCCCCAAGAAATTCCTGCACCTTCAGGCAGAACAGCTAGGTGTTTACTGAAATCTACATCTGGTAGCAATTTGTTCAGCAGCAATAGCTTCTCCTGCCTTCTCCTGCACCAAATACTCCACTGGGATCCATAACCCCACACTGCTCATTTGTGTGAGGCCAGTTTGTTACTCATGTCATTTTTTACACTGGCCTGGAAGCAGAGACACTGTTCTCACCCATGGTCATCTGAACAGAGATGAAGCCACATACTGGCCTCTGACTCCCTCACTCTAAAGTCTGCACTGGAGCAACAGAAGGGCAGGGTGTTGCCCTTTGCTGTCTAGGAGTTTCTGGCCCATGATGCTGTCAAGACCTGCATAGGAGTCTCAACCCAGAGTGACACTTCCAGGACTGTGGAGATAGGGAGGCACACCATGCTACAACTCCAGGGAAAGTTCTTTGAGGGGTGATGAGCCTTGAGACTGGCTGAATGAAGAGTTTGTTTTTGGTGGCTGTGGTTACTTAACAAGATGGTGGTAAGTCCAAACAGTGAAGCCCAGCTTGGTGGCAGTCCTTGGTGACTACAATTTTATGATTTGCACCAAGCTCCTCAACTTCAATTATTTCTGCAAAAGTGAGGACAGGGACAGATGTGCAGGTCAAATTAATAGAAAATACATTTTCTGGAGGGTGGTGTTGCACACCTTTACTCCCAGCACTTGGGAGCCACAGGCAGGCAGATCTCTGAGTTCAAGACCAGCCTGGTTGACAGAGTGAGTTCCAGGACAGCCAGGGCTGCCACACAGAGAAACCCTGTCTGCAATGAACAAACAGAATATTCATGACAGACTTCTGACATGTGTGCCTAGCACCCACGCGGGCCTCTACCGGAAGTGAGAATTCCCCATTGCTCACTTCATTCATGCAGATATGAGGGAGGGAGGCTGTCATTACACTACCTTATCCTTATAGCTCAAACTGACCAATCAGAATAGCTCTTCCTTGCCTAATGCAAGGTCTAGAGAAGTCATGTGACTGGCTAATGATGATGGCTTTTATTAAGAGCTATTGAAAAAGATGTCTCTGTGAATTTGAAGCCAGCCTGGTCTATAAAGTGAGTTCCAGAAGTATAGCCAGAGCTGCTATACTGAGAAACCGTCTTGAAAAACTACAAATAAATAAATAAATAAATAAAAGAAAAAAGAGAGAAAGAAAAAGATACTATTATGCTATTGCAGAAAAAAAAAAGGTATTTTCGAATTGTCTAAGCCCATGTTTCTTGCTGACTGGCAACAAGAACCCATTGACAGAATAAAGGTCAACAATAGAGAACACAGGTAAGCCATTGTAGGGGAACCTGTAGCCATGCCTGCTTAGGGGCTGGCTACAGGTCTGCCTGACCACGCCTGCGAGAGCATGGTCATGGTGATGTAGAGTAAGCGTTCAGTTGTCTGGGTTTCACTTTCAGTTTTCACCCTTGTGTACAGACTGCTGCCATGCCGGCTGGCTAGGTTGCTCTGTAAGGCTTTTCCCTATTAAATACCCTTATATTTCTACATGGCTCCATATTGGTAATTACCCACTTTAAGCCACAAAGACAAAGATGGCCTTGACCTGTGAGATGCCCCTATTCGAAAATCCTCCTGCCTGAGTCCATGGAAAAGTAAACTACCTTGGGGCTGGAGTCACAGAGACAGCAAATTTATTTGGTGAATGTTGAGGACAATCATCACCAATAGAGACCAGATGGGAAAAGTGTGCTGCTAAGAGTCTAGGAAGCCTCTAAGGCCACACAGAAATCTCACTCCGCATGGCAAGGGCTCAGGATATGGGAATGTCCTCAGCCATTCAGGGCAATATGGAAGTGCTATTGCCCTTGTGCCCTGCCCCCAGGGTCTCCACTCCTGTCAACTCCAGCGTGAAAAGGATGTGATGAATCTCAGCTCCCAGCATGGCACCATTCTCAGGGTTTCACCATAACCCCATGGCTCCCCAGGTCCCTGTTCTTGGCCATGTCTGAAGCATGGGCAGAAGTACTCAAAATCAAGCACCCCTACATTCTTCTCCTCAGGGTTCTCCAGGACCATCATGTCCCCACATTAGCTGTAAAGATTTTGTCACCACCAGTTTAAAAGGCTTCCTAGAGACCTTTGGTCAATTCCTTATGAAGTCACACATTTTGATCACTGAGCTCTGTGGAGCCTTTTCCTGAAGTAATGCCTGTAATTATTTTTACACTAAATCCAGGCTGAACTTTTGGTTTCTGTCACTCATAACCAGTATCTAGAGGGCTAAAGAAGAAGATTGCTATGGCCACCACATATACAAATGTAGAACACACATTCTGAAAAATACCAAGTACGATGCAAGTGTTGGATATTGACCATGGGTGACATGGCTATGACTGACAGAGGGCTCTCAAGTAACTAGGTTGATGCAATGGATTCTGCAGCACCCTGCTATGGAGGCTGTTGCTTCTATGGGAACACCCCCCCCCCGCCCCAATAACCACCCCTGTAAGGACCAGCCAGGATGGCTGTGCTCTTTACCAACTCACCCAGCACATGGTTCATCTGGACCATGACATACACTGGGCACTGACCACCTAGACTCACAGAATCTTATAAGAGGAAGTCAATGTCAGTCAGTCATTCATGAAGAAATCTATAGCAGCCCATAAGGCTCATTCCTCTCAAGTCTCACTCGTGGTTTCCTGGCAGTGCACTTGGGTGGGTATTTTGCCATCTATGAAGCAGTGTTCAGAATGCTGGCACCAGTGTTCTCTATGGACAGAGTAGAGGGTTTTTCCCTTGTTTATCTTTTATCACAAGAGCAGCAGCGAGTTCCACAGAGAAGTTAATCTTTATTTGGAGTGTGGACCAGAAGGACAATCAAAACTATTCAAGCTGAGTGGTGAAGACCCACTCTCTCATTGTCAGAGCATAGGACTCTGAGGGAGACGACTCATCTGATCTTTGAAGCAGGCTGGTGCAGGTGTATTCTGAGCACTGCCAGCTTTCAGAGCACATTCTAGACAATTCCGATGGGCATGCGGCTGGAGGAGAGTTGGGACTCTGACCAAGGATCACGGCTCATCTGGGATTAGAACACCATCAGCAGTCTCTATCATCTTTTTCAAGTGAATAACTAGGTCATTGTACTGTGCTTTCTTAACACAGTAGAACATGCCAGAAACTTCAGAGTTGAAATAGAGAGACAAGCCATTGGAAAGAGGAATCCAAAGAATCACAAATGAGAGTTGCTAACCTCACTGGTAATCAGGACAGTGGAAATCAAAAGCCTAATGAGATAATGTTGCACATGTAACAGATTGGGGACAATTTCAAAATACGATGTGTCAAGAATTTGGCAAGGACAAGGAAGTACAGAAGCTTAAACTGGCCCAAATGTTGCTAGAAGGCAGTCTGTCATGATCTGATGAAGTTGAAGACATATTTTCTATGATGATCCCAGGTAAACAGTGTACATACATCACAGTGAGGGTGGTGTCTACTCCCAAAAGAGAAAACCTGGGTTTGGACAGGTAGAAAAAAACAATCATAGACATGACCATTGTTGGTGGCCCTACTAAAACTGACTCTAGCCAACATTCTTTATTGTTAACTCTAGAATCCTAGCATTCCATTTTCTTCCTGGGAGGGATGATAAGGAGAGACCTTAAGACACACTGACACAGTCAAGTGCAGTACAGGACCCGGCAACTCGTCAGCCAGCAGCACTGGAGGAGGGGGACTTTCTGACTAGGGAATGCTGCATGGCAACAAGAGTGAGCAAACCTCAGTCACAAGTACAGACCAGATGTAGCACAATTCCATTCATGAAATTTTAAGACAGAATTGCATTGTTTAGGGATGTGTCCCCCAAGCTGAAGATGAAAAAGCAGTGTGTGGAGCAGCAGCCACCAGGGCTGCAGGCAGTGAGCAACACATGAGTTGGGAAGGGCACTTAGTTCAGGAAGCCATGGAGAACATGTTATGTTTTTTCTGCATGTGTTGTGGATCACTTTAAAATACGAAAAGAGAAAAGACAAGCAGGAGGGGTTTTCCTTGATCTTTGTCATTTACTGTCTAGAAAGCAGTTTGGGCATCAAGCTCCCCCGCCCCCCGACCGGCATGTGGTGCTTTCAGAAGCCTGTGCACCTGGGCCCAGCGAGTCAGAACCCATTTCTCAAAGGAGGTGAAGGCTCCTTTGAGAGCTCAGCAGGGGTCCCAGGCAGATCTCACCACCAAGTAAACAAGCTGAGACAAGATGAATGACTTGAAAAAAGTTGGGGACCACACAGCAACAGAAGGATGGACCAGGGGTCTCCTCCATCTCTTCTGGTTTCCACAGCCACAACTCAATCAAGTGCAGATAGAAAGACTTAAAACCCTGTCCATGTCCAATGAGATGATGGTTTGTTTTGTTTGTTTGAAGCAGGTTCTGATGTAGCCCAGACTGGCCCTGAATTCCTTTTGTAGCTGAGGGTGGCCTTGAACTGCTGATCCTCTGGCAATTCTGTCTCAGTTTCCTGAGTGCTGAGCTTAGCATGTGCCACCATGCCTGGCTAGACTTTTTCCTTTTATTATTCTGTAAGCAATACACTGTGACAACTATGTATCACTGGCACCATTTGATGGGTCAGGAGTGATGGACAGATGATTCAAGGCATAGGAAAGGGCATGCACAGGATTCATGCAGGTGACCTTCCACTTTATAGAGGGGCTGGCATGCCTGCAGATTGTGCAATCAATGGCCTTGATGCTGAAGGGAACACCTGTGGAACTCACCAGAGAAAAAGCTGCGTCCAGCTAGCAATCCTTGGAGGAATCAATAAGAATGTCCCATTAACAGTCATGAACTGACTAAGCAATTACAACGGTTTCATATTAAGAAGTTCATTTTTTTCCACACAGTTCCTTTACATACTCTGACACTGATGCTAACTTGATACTCTAAAACTCACTTAATACAAATTACTTCTAGGATGGTTAGTACCTGCTTAAAATTCAAAGGTCTGTGGCATTGATATTAAGAGTCACTTTTAGTTAAAAAAAAAAATTGAGCTGGGTGATCACACACCTTTAATCCTAGTACTCAGAAGGCAGAGGCAGGCAAATCTCTGAGTTTGAGGTCAACCTGGTCTACAGAGCTAGTTCCAAAAACAGCTAGAGATACACAGAGAAATCCAGTCTCAAAAACCAAAGCAAAACAAAAAACGAGAAAAGGTTTCCATTTGGTTCACTTGTACTTAGATTACATTAACTAATTGTGTATTATAATCTAAATATTTCAGTTTTAAGTTTTCAAATTACACTGTGTGTGTGTGTGTGTGTGTGTGTGTGTGTGTGCGCGCATGCGTGTGCGCGCACGCGCGCATGCATATACACACCCAGGCACTTGAGTGCTACAGTACATGTATGAGAGCAGAGGACAGACATCTTTGGGGAGTTCCTTATTTCCTCCCTCATTGCTGCTGCTGTGCACTCCAGGTTATCTGTTCCATAAGTTTTGGATAATTCCATGGTCTCTGTCCTCCATCTTGCTGTAGGACGCCAACACAGATTTAGGCTCCCCGATCCATGAGTTTTGGGGATCAAACCCAGGTTGACAGGCTTGCATGACAAGCATGTTTAGCTCCTAAGCCATCTCATTGTCTCCTCATTGTCTAAAGATTTGAAAATGTGCCAGCACCTTTATAACTAGATACCATCTCAGATCCCGGGTGAACTCTGGCAAGAGGAAGTGATTTAAACAGTGGCAGGCAAAGGAAAAAACCCCGCCTCTACCTCCAGCACGCAAATCCCAGGCCTTTCCCAGGCTGGCCTATCCTAGATCCTTGGGCCTGCATTGCCAAGGCTGAAGTGGGCCCTGCTGTCATGGAATGCAATCTATTCCCTCAGGTCACTGACTAAAGAAAGGGGAGAGAGTGGAAGCGAGGACAGAGGGGAAAGTATGTCCCAAGTATCTGGGCACAGAGACACAAACTAGTGTTTCAAACGTCAATGATCCCAGCTCATCTGACTGAAGTGACACAAATGTTTACGTGCGCAATTCTTTATGAACAAGAACTATTTTGAAAACTTTTACGAAGCCAAGTTTCTTTCCTTTTAATAAAATGCCAAGCAGAATTAGGTGGGGTCTCTTCCAAGGAGGCTTAAGGTAGGATAAACACAAATACTTTAAGTTAGCAAATTAAAACAAAACAAGGGGTTTTGAGTCTGGCTCAATAGCAGAGCACGTGCTCAGTGGCATGAGGCCCTGGTTCCATGCCCAGCACAGACAACAACAAAAACCTATTACCTATTTTGAGCTTGTTATTTATTTATTTTTTTTTTAAAGCACACAGCATCATAACCACAAATGGTGGCCAGCTCTCAATTTCCTCTCTAGTTTAGGGAAGACGGAAGCCTGGAGAGAAAGCTCCTTGGACCTGCTTTTCTCAGGTGGTAATTCCAGATGAGTCATGAGTTTATCGGCAAGGAAAACATCGAAGGTTTTATTAGATTTTACTAGAAGCCAGTGGAAGAGTAAGAAGGCACAGTGATGTGGCAGATGCCTTGGTACAAAGAGACAGGCCACCAGAGAATTCGGCTGTGCTGTACTGTGTGTGGAAACTTCGAGGCTTAGTATGAAAGCAGAGATTCCCTGTAAGTTAGAACCATCTCGGCACCCGGCTTGCAGTGCTATCTCTGCTCCCAGTCTGTAAGGTGTACTGTAAACCTTACCATGTGCACTGAGGCTTCACACAATGAAGCTCACGGCATGTAACCAGCATATCTGTTTTTCCCTCTGTCCTTCTACAGCCTCATCTGTAAGATGGGTACCTCTTCCTCCTAAGAAGGGATCCAGGGGCTGCAGGGATCCAGGAGCACAGTATGCTGGTGGTGATAGTATTAATTACTGCCCTACTCTCACAGGTCTTGGGGTTCCCCTGCCACAAGTATATATGGAATCCCTGCTGTTTTCCTCTCCTATACCTGAGTTCCAGCCTCTAAGAACCAATGCTTGCTCTTTCCTGGAGCCCCCTCTGGCATGAGAACCTCCTGAGATCCCACAGAAATAAAAGAACCATGTGTCAGATTCTGCACCCATGGCCACAAGACCTGTCACACATCTTCCCTCCCCTGGCACCATGGCACTGCCTCTCAGGCCTGCCTTGTACCTCTTTGCTTCTACAGCACCTCCAGCTGGGCAGGGCTGATAAACAGCAATTGAAGACATCAACGATACTGGATTAAGAGGCATACACCTTTGGTGCTATTCCTGCCATCCCTCAGCCAACCTAGAAGGTTCAGAACTGCAATCTCAGAGCTATGATTCCATTTAATTTACAGTCTTGAAATATGGAATCTCCCCAAATTCAACACAAGGCAGATGTTTTGCTTGCAAATGAGAAGGGTCAGCTGTGAAAATACAGCCCCTAGAAAAACAAGGACAGGACAGGCTACAAGGACACCTCCAGGGGCCCTCCACCGCTGAGTCAGGAAGTTGGGTCAGCTGTGCCAGGCCCATGTGCTCCCTAGCCCCAGGAATACACTCAGTTTCTACCTTCTGGCTCACAGACCCCATCTTGAGAAGCACCCCCAACTCAAAATGCATCCATTTAGCTTAGTGTTTTCATGATTTAAAGATATATACAACTGCCAGTCAAAGGCAAATCCAGACTGAATTCTTCTCCGACATGACCAAATCAGCTTTAAAAACATTTTTTTAGGTTCATGTAATATCTCGGAGTCTTTATGGTTTGATGTCTTTTGGACTTGAATCTCATGGTTTAGGGAGGACTCCAGTCTCATGATTTAGGGAGGATTCTATTCCCATGGTTTGAGGAGGACCAGAGGACTGTTCCATTGTTCAGTTCCGTCTTGTCTGCTTGAAGCATGTGACTCCCCCTTTCTTTCTCCCGTGGCCTCCAAGTAGATTGCACCATGCAGCCTCCTCTCTGAAAGGTAGGATTTTGCTGTCTTTTCTTCAATAGGCCCATCCCTAATGCCCACATATATAAACGTCTCAAATCTTTGCAGATAAATCTGACAGCAAATAAAAGGGACGCACTTTATACAGCGGGTTCTCAATGAGCCGCTGCCAAGCTGGATTTCAAAAGACAGGCTCCAGTTTCCAAGCTAAGCAGCACATGGCTCTCTGCCTGCAGTTTCTGCCTCCCCTTCCCTCCCTCAGGAGAGAGGGCCAAGGCTGATCTTGAGGGATTGCTTCATAAGGAAAAATCAGGGCAGGGCACCATCCCAGGACCGACCAGGGGAGAAGGGCTAGCAGAAGACTCTGGGAAGATAGAGCTAGGTGCATGAACAGGCTCGTTCGTCAGTTCCCACACGAGCCCTCTCCATTGCAAACAGGTCTGAGTGCTGACACGGAGCTTCCCACAGCTTCCACTGGCCTCTAAAGGCATATTTGTCATCAGAGGCTCTTGATGAAGCTGTACATAAATATCTGACTGTTGTTAAATACAAAACAAAACAAAAAACTACTCCACAGAAACCAAATCAAAACCAGCTGTGAGGGCGAGGGGCCAAAAACTGGGGGTAAGTGCAAAGGCTGGGCAGAAACACTTGTTAACAGTGTGGCTCACTGAGCAGGAGAGGAAGTCTCTGTGCCTAAGAAGTCACAATGCATGACTACCATGCTTCTCCTGTGACTTTCCACCTTCTAGAAGTCTGTAGCCAATGAGACAGTTTGACTCTCAGCTCTGGATGCATCTGCCAGCACAGCCATCCTCGAGGCTGCCAGCCTGTAAGGGTTGTATGGCCTGTATTCACAGTTAGTGCTCAACTTTCCTCCTCTATTATCACTAATTAACTCCCTAGATCTGCAGAAAGCATGCCGCGTCACCAAAATGTGAAGACATTAAGTGCCATGAGCAGTGCTAAGGATAGGATGACGCTGACATCAGCCACGTTGCCAAGAGGCCTGAGTGAGGGGCACATGGTCTCAGGCTAATCCTGGAGGCAGGAGAATGGCCAGCTTCTGGCTATGGGATCTGGGAATTTCACTCTCTGAAGGAGGGACCAACAGGGTTTGTTTTGTCAACCCTCTTAGGGAGTCATCTTTAGTTAGACGGGCTGGAAAATATATCTTGGTGTTTCTCAGAGCATGATGCTGAATCCACAGTTGGAATAAAATAAAAACATGGAAACTGATATTTTGTCCCAGGACGAGAAATAACCCTGGGGGCTAAGTTGAGCCAATTTCATAAAACGAGGCTAACACATTTGCATGTTTGAGTCACACTGAGACTTTCCTTAAGAAATCCATCAATTAAAGCAACACTTGGGGGAACTCCTCAGCAGATCTGTGGCTGGAACACCCTGTGGTTCATCAACCTGCAACTTCCATTTCCTGAGGTTGCAAAGAGGCCAGTCTCCAAGAGCCAGCATTCTTAGGAAGTTGGGCCTCGAAGATAAAGTGTGAAAGCATCCTTTGTCCATGGCCATGTTTTAAGAGTATAGGAAGCTGAGTGAGGCCTTCCCTCTGTGGGGACTTCTAACATTCCATGGGCAAAATGAAAACATTTGACAGCTGGATGAGATTCCAAGAATGTGGGTGTCTGTCCAAGGTGCCATCTTTACAAGATAAAATACAAGTCAAGGCAAATGGCCTTTTCATGGAAGTGCTTTTAAACTTTTTAGTGTGAAAAAAATTAACCCTCCATACATATTCTACATTAAGAACATTTGGATTAGCACATGGGTGGCAGAGGCAGGCAGATCTCTGTGAGGTTGGGGTCAGCCTGGTCTACTTAGTGGGTTTCAAGTCATCCAAAGCTACACAGTGAGACCCTGTATATAAAAAACAAACAAACAAACAACTATACCCCAGCTCAGCAGCCTCTCCTCACTGTGGCAGACAGGGCAACTCCCTGTTCTCTGTCATGATGGTTCACTAGTCCTGTTATTTTACTTTCAAGCTTCATCCCTAGTGACACCCAGTCACTGTCTTTCATATTGTTACCACAGAAACATCACCACCATAAACAAGGCATCTTTCTAGGGCTGGCCCCAAGCTCCATCTGCAACCATGGCTTCTTAACTCTTCCCTCTCCATTAACTGATGATCTCCATAGCAGCTCAGGCACCAGTGGCTCTCAATGAACTCACTGCAGTCCATTAGGATGAGTGACAATGGCCATGGTCAATCTCACTGGATGCAGATGGCCCTGCTTGGCTGTATCTTTGTCACTGTGGCCTTTCTGTGGCAACAAGAGGACATGTGGTCTCCAGCAGGTTCAACTGGGCACAACACAGGTGGTAAAGTAGACACAGAACTTTCTAGAGATTAGTGCTGAAAGGGCAGGGAAAGGGGAGTGACCCCATAACGGGCATGTTTATTTTTTGGGGTGATGATAATGCCACTCAGGGCAAACTACAAACTACAGAATTATCACTTGAAAACGGATGAGCCTTGTGGCTGTGTCATGTGCCCTGTAAGTCAGGGAGGCTGGGGGCGCTGCTTCTTTCCTCTCTGCCTTTCAATGACCAATGCCTCTTTTGTATATAAAGACAGTTTCTCACCTTTTAAAACTAAAGGAATAATGGTTGTCTTTCCAAAAGGCTTTCCTGCATCCTATCTCTGGCTAAACATTTTCAATGGCACCTCAGCTCACTGCTAACACCTTCACTTCTCACAGGAAACATGAACCCATGAGTGCCACTGTCTCATTAACTCTTGTTCAGTAACCGCCATGGTACCTGTAGTCAGACCTTCAGAAGAAGTTCAGTAATTTTAAAGCAGTTTTACACACACACACACCACACTCACAAATACACATGGTCCTGAGTTCCAGCACCACAAAAAATTTTAAATTCTTTTTTAAAAACATACATAATAAAACAATGCATATTACTTTGAGTCTTTTGTAACCCCAAACCCATGAAAACAGTTGATGCAAAAGGGAATTATCTTTCTCATTATGTTGCATTAAAAATATAGAAGTTCATATTTTCATACTAGGCATCTATAAATTCACCAGAAAGTATAAAAATTAAAATACTACACACACACACACACACACACACACACACACACAGATGTTTTCAGTTTTGTTTTGTATTTGAGATATGGTTTCATGTAGCCCAGATTGCTACATAGTTGAGGATGACTTTAAACTCCTGATCTTCCTCTTTACCCTGGGGTACTGAGGCTTGGAATTCCACAAGCTAGGAAAGTGCTCTACCAGTGAGCTGTATCCCTGGCTACTCTTTGACATCTGTATTTATTCTCTTACACATACAAGCTCTTTTTGGAGCAATGAGACGACACAGGTGAGAGTGACTTTTGCTGCTTTGAGGTCCCCCGGTGAGCACTATGTTTTTGTCCTTCTCTTAAAGCTTCTATTTAGAGCTTTGGTAAGCTAAGGGTTACAGACCCAAACTCCCAGAAAGGCTGTCAACTGCAGAGCATGAAATTAATCCAGAACATGGCTAAAGGATGAAGAAATAGCATCTGTCTGTCTCCAGGAGAGGAAATGGAGCCACGTGACAGGCATGACAACTGTTTCTATAGACAGACGTTCCTAATGTGGTGCTGGCAATGGGCCCAGGGCCTTGTGCATGCTAGGGAGCACCATACAGTGGAGATGCATCCACAGCCCTTCACACATTTTATGCCTTCAAAGCCTGAATCCCATGCATCATCGCATGCATCATTTCTATTCAGGACATGCTGTTTGGCTCCCTCTAGTCAAGGAGCATGTGTCTGCAGTTGCCAGATTAGATTTTTCAAAGAAGTTGGGAATGAGGAAATTGAGACTTTTATGTTAAAGTTGCGATTTTAAAATTCTGGGTTTCTTCAAAATTTAACACAGGGCAAGCTCCAAATCACCACAGCTGCAAGCCACATCTGGCTCATAGGCTAACTGGCTAATTATCATTCACCTCCAATGTTATGGGGGATTTCTGACTGAACAGCTCACTTAGTGAAGGTAACTTCAAAATAATAAAATAAAATAAAAACCACTCAGGCTCACAGATGAAGCTCTGTCCTTCCTGCCCACAGCCTATTGTCACCAACGCTGGCAGGAACTTCTTTTCCTCTGGGCCTTTGAGAAGGATATGATCAACTAAGCCACCAAAATGCAGACTAACCGGATGTAATCAAGGGATGAGCCCTGACATCTGCTCTGTCTCTAGAGTGAGATACAAGGAAATCTCTGCTACAGCTCTTCTGAGCTGCTAAAGAAGTTAATTCTGTTGGCTGACAAAGTCCTCTCGCCATCTTGTCAGTGATATCAGAGCTGCTAATATCTACAGTTTCCTCCTTATGCATTTCCAGGCCACAGAAGCCACCATCAGCAAAACCTCCTGAAACCTGCCTGGGACCTCAGTCTCAGTTCTAGGGGGCAGTTTCATCTCTCAGAGTTCTCTAGAGATGCTATTCACTTCCTGGCCCTGAAGATGAAAGACACTTCAGCTTCTAAGTACCAGACATCAGTAAGAGCCACATTTCCTTAACACCCCAGCATCTGAACAAATTACAGAAAATGCACTTTCAGCTCTGAGCCAAGCACCAGAGACAAACTGCCTTGTTTCCTGAGTATGCCTGTCAACCTCACCCCAACCTCCTCACCAGTCCAAGCAGTTGTACTCTGGTTTTTCAAATGGTTTCTTCTACTCAGAGCTCATCCCACTCCTCAAAATGGCAGCCCTTATTCCACTGGCTGGCCAGGACTGGTCCATGTCAGCCACTCCTGATTATTTGGGGACTGTTAAGTGGTGTGGAGATGCAATCTCTGGGGTATTTATCAATGACCAGGACACATGGCTCTGCAGTACTGAACCAGGTCTGCAGAAAATAGGATGGCAAGGGCTTTCCCTGTGTAGCCACAGAAGTGCCATGAGGGCTCGGCTCACCTTGTGACCTCTCAGGGAAAAGCCACTCCCCCAGGTGAAATGCTGTCCTCATTCTTAGCCATCCATTTTGAGTAACTATGGGCTTCTCTGCCACCTGTGTGTGTCCCTCATTCAGGGTAGGGACCTGCACAACTCCCAGGCCAGGCAGGGCCATTTCACAATAGGTCAGTGTTGGTACCTAAGACTGACCAGGCTGTCAACAACAAGTGGGCCATGTTTTCTCTAATGACACAGCCAGAGTCCAAGGCCCTCACTGACCTGTGTTTTGACAGACACCTTAAAGACTGTTCTCCAACAGCTGTACTCAAAGACACCTTCCAGAAACACAAGTGATGCTCAGAAATCAGGGACCTGTTCTTGATCTGTCTTGACTTAGTGCTTTTGGCAGCTACAGGGCAGACACCTTAGCACACCAGGGTGTGTCACTGATGACCAAGGTGCTACCTGCTCTCAGGAAAAAACCAAAAACACACTAAAATCAAGCACTCTATCCTCTTTCACAAAAGCAAGAGTCAGGCAGGTTGTAAAACTCAGTCCTTAGGACAGAAATACTGTGTTCTTACCTCTGCAGCTTGGGTCTCTTGATGGAGCAGTGTAAGACCAGTCAAGTCTTCTAAGAAGGAATGTGAGGAGTTAAACACCTTCGCTAGGAAGGTAAATCCTTCCTGCTCGTATTGATCAAGAACCTGCAAAACATTGGTACTTTTAGAAAGGGAGCTGTAGCTGTTAGATATGCATTAAAAGGTTCTTCTTTCTAACAATCACTTGTTTAAAACAGGGAGGTGGCTCAGCAGGCAAAGGTGGCTATCACTAAGCTTCATGACCTAAGTTTGATTCCCAGGGAGGGCCCACAGGGTAGAAGGAAGGAACTGACTCCCACAAGTTGTCCTTAGACCTCCATATGCACCCCATGGCACATGCATGAACACACCGCACACAAGTATAAGTAGATAAAACTTTTTATTTATTTAATTAATTAATTAATTTATTTATTTTTGGTTTTTCGAGACAGGGTTTCTCTGTGGCTTTGGAGGCTGTCCTGGAACTAGCTCTTGTAGACCAGGCTGGTCTCAAACTCACACAGATCCGCTGCCTCTGCCTCCCGAGTGCTGGGATTAAAGGCGTGCACCACTAACGCCCGGCGATAAAACTTTTTAAAAAGAAAATAAAATATAAGGTAAAAATGCTGCCTGACAGGCAAAAAAAAAAAAAAATGGCTGGGGTTAAGAGACTGGCTGCTCTAGCAGAGGACCTGGGTTCAGCTCTCAGCACCCACCATCAACTGGCTCAAAAATGTCTGTATTCCAGCTTCAGGCAATCTGATGCCTCTGGCCTCCTCAGGCACCTGCACTCACATACGTACATACATACGTACATACATACATACATGGACACAGACAGAGACAGAGATAGAGACAGAGACATATACTCTCTCTCTCTCTCTCTCTCTCTCTCTCTGTGTGTGTGTATTCAAAAAATCTTTAAGAAACACTATTGGAGGACTTGGTATGGGAGAGTCACATGTCTTCCGTGTAGATGTCTCCCAATAAAGTAAGTTTCATGCAAGTTCACTGAATGTTCTACAAGACTCAGCTACTGGGCCAAAGATTCACTTGTTACAAAATAAATAACGGTAGAGAAGATCGAGGAAAAAATGGAAATTGATTAAGGGAGTGGGCAGGACAAGATGGCTTGTTAGAAATCTGACATTCCAGCTAGCCAAAAACCATTTTAAAACATAGCTATTAGAAATGGAAAAATGTCAACAGGAACATCGTAAATAAGGACAATCAACACAAGATTATACTCAATATCACATGTGACCAGAGAAATAGCAACCAAACTACAATGAAATATGCCCTGTACACTGAAGGGTTACAAAAGTCAGGACACAGCAAGTGCTAGGAAGGATATGGGACACTTGGGACTCCCATGACCATAAGATGAGAGCATCAATTTCCAAGTTTAGTACTCATGGCCCGGCACCTTGCCTGGCTCTGGTGGAGTAGGTGTGGGAAAGCCAGCCCTGAGGGGATGAAAGTAGGAGAGCTGGTTCTCCCCCTGCTCCTTGCTGTGTGAACTAGCTGGGGCAACACTGGAGAGTTCACCCTAGTGGTAGGGAAGGGAGAGCTGGCGGATGACCAACCCTGCAACTACCTAGGCCCAGAACCAGGGTTATGTGTTGGCCCATGCCAACATCCACCCCATCTGTGATCTGCTGGAGCACAGGAAGGGGCCAGTCCTGCAGATCCAAAGCTGCAGGATCTCCACAACACAGAGCAACAAACAGGATATCCAAGAGGAGTCCCAATGAGGGCCAAGTATTGATGGTATAGTAGAAACCAGAGTCCTCAAAACAGGCCAATGAGTTTTTGCAACAAACACAAAATAAATGGATAACAGGGTTTACTGCATGACTCATTGTGTCATATTACAGCTTCCACAACATGATTTTTCTTTTTATTTTGGGGGAAGGTTGCAAAGGCAGAGGGTGAATAGGAGATGAATGGTATCGAGATGTATGATGTGAAAGACACAAAGAATAAATAAAAAGATAGTAAAAAGAGAAGCTTAGTACTTACATGCCCTATGACCCAGTAATCCTTAGGTACACAAACAAAGATGTGAATACAGGAGCATGAGAAGACACAAACCAAAGTGCTCATGGCAGCTCTGCTCATGATAACAGACTCGAAGTCACTTAAGTAACTATTAGGTAGATGAATAAATGAATTAGGTATATTCAGGAATGGAATACTATGTATCAACTATAGAAGTTATAATTACATTCGTCAAACACATTACAGAGAAGGAAGAATCGGTACACACTGCATAATTACCTTTATACGAAGTTTAAAACAAGAACAAGTAAAATTAACCCAGGTGTTATAACTCGAGATAGAGTGGACCCATGGAGAGACTAGAAGAGGGGTGCTGAGGGTGTTAATAATATCGGATGCTGAGTACATAAAGTATGTGTCGTAAGAATTCATCAGAGCAGTTAGGATGTGGACAAGACTCCCATAAGCATGATACCCTTTCCATAGAAGGCCAGAAGATGAAAGGCCAGTCACCTTGACAAGAGAACAAGAACTGTCAGAGCAAAACAAGTGACTGTCACACCCCTGGATCAGTGATCACAGGAGATGTCAAACAAAGGGCTGGCAGTGAGCTGCAGAGCTTCAAAAGTTATCTCAGAACCCAGAATAGACAGGGAGGAGAGTATGAAGAAAATGGCAGACATTGGTCACATCCAGTCATCAGTGGACATGTGAACAGACACCTGAGAAGCAGTAACTTAAGAAATAGAGTTAAAAAAAAAATCCTCCTTTTGGAAAAGCATAAACAGCACAATTAGCAATTTCACTTGTGAAAGTTTCTAAGTGGTTATTTGTAGCAGGAACACAGATGTAAGCCTGCTCACTGAACCACTGCAGCAGAAAACCTTGAAAACAGATATCTGACAGGGGACCATGGGCCACATTTTACCTCATTTATAGCAGTGGCATATCCTGTAACCCATTAAAAAAAAAAACACGAAGTACTAGGGAGGCTGGTAAAAATTGATTTCCAAGACATAACAATGTATTTAAAAAATCCAACATCTAGACTGTGTATGGAGTACTGTGTTTAAAAGATGGAGGGAAGACAGAAAAAGAAGGGGAAATGAATTCAGGTCCAAATACTCCTTCTACAGTTTCAATGTTCTGCATCTGAAAATGTCTAAATCAGCTGAGTGCTGGTTTAGGGGGAAAGGATCATAAAAAAAAAAAAAAAAAAAAAAAAAAAAAAGGAAGGGGGAGAAGGGATACCAGCCTCTGGGAACAGGAGCAGCGGGAGAGTGGAGAGAAAGAGAGATGTCACAGGCAGAAGTGTCCACACTGTGTCCTGTGGCTGGCCATAAATCAAATTTGGACATGCTACAGGTACTGCATAAAGCTGCCCTAGGGCCATGAGTATAACCCGCTTAAGAAATAGAGGTGTCTGAGTCACGGAGATCCTATGGTTATCACAGGACCAGTCCTTTCAAGAGGTCCAGCAGGTCCTAGATGGGGTAGATGTTTGGGTGAGCCAACCCCAGATCTAGCTGTGGGCCTGCCTGGTTGAGCTGGTCAGTCCAGGCTGCCCACCTCCAGGGAGAACTAGCTCCCCTATGCTTATGCCGTCAGGCAGCTCTCCCCTGCCCGTGGTGGGGGAGTTTCAGTGAGGATCCAGTGATTATGGTGTACCAGAAACCAGAGGCCTTGAACAAAACCAGTGACTCATTGCAATGAACATTAGCAAGTAAAGCTGATTGGACAATACTATGTGTGACACACCATGGTTCCCAATGCCACCAGGATGAATGAAGAGTTATTGGAGAGGCAGGAGAGACGGAGGAATGAAGAGGTTTTCTTTTCTTTTTCTTTTTGCTCTTTTTTTGTTTTCTAGTTTTGATTTTTTAAAAAAAAATTCATTGGGTGGGTGCTGCAGGAGGGAGGGGAGGATATAGAGGGACTGGGAAGTGAGTGGAATTGGGCAGGCAGATCTGTGAGTTCCAGGCCAGCCTGGTCTAAAGAGCAAGTTCCAGAATAGCTAGGACTACACATAGAAAAACCAAAAATAATAAATAAATAAATAGCAGAAATTATGTTTGTCCATCTTCCTCTACTGCTCCCAAAGGACTCAAAGAACCTCCAAGAGTATGGACCCACAAAAAACCACCACCCCAAAAGAAAGGAAGGGAGAAAGAGAGAGAGAGGGAGGGAGGGAGGGAGGGAGGGAGGGAAGAAGGAAGGAAGGA